GACAGACAGACAGACAGACAGACAGACAGACAGACACACACACACACACACACACACATTAATCCCAGCATGTAGTCACATATGTGCTGCTCAGACCTGAACAGATGCACATTCAANCACACACACACACACACGGACACACGCACACACGCATGCACGCACACACACACACACACACACACACACACACACACACACACACACACACACACACACACACAGACACACATTAATCCCAGCATGTAGTCACATATGTGCTGCTCAGACCTGAACAGATGCACATTCAAAGGCTTTATGAATATTTAATTAAATCTGCATTAGTGCCAACCTTTATAAGCCATTCCACACACTGTTTGCTAAACATATGAATTATTTATAATATTCAATAAGTTATGCCCACATGTAGAGTCAATGTTATATTACACAACGTAAATATCATTGCATACATTTCATATTTCTGACATAAGGAGGATTAAGTATTTCTTCCACTTCTTATGGCAAACAAAGCTCTTTAAAGCCCATGTGATTATCTGGAAATTGTGTCATTACAAAGCTGGAAACAGGACTGTTTGTCCTAGCTGATAAAGAATAGCCATCTTTGAGATCTACGGTTTTCTAAAGCCGGCGCCAATACTAGATTTTCCCTCTGATAACACTTAGTTGATAGATGATATGATTTGTTTATTGTTGTTTTTGTTGTCAAACTGAGGCCACACACCATTCTATAAAAGCTGGAACACAACTTTTACTGCACAATAAAACATCCTAAATTCAATGTTTAGTAGCTCTTTCAACAGCTCTCATTCATATATAAGTGCAACATTAGGGTAATGGGAAAACAGGGTATGCAAAACCAGAGTTTATTCATTTGACATGTACTCCCTTAACACAAAAGTTAACTTACCTATAGCTAATATTATAACTACTACTGGCTGCTATTTCTTAGTTAGTCCATCCAGCAAGAAGAATATGTAGGTACCTATGTGCAATATTTGTACTACTGTTGTCTACCTGCTACTACACTGCATTCTACAATGTTACACTTACTTATTTTATCTAAAATGTCCCCTCTGTGGAACAAATAAAGGATTGTATTTCCTGTGCAAATGGAAGCTCATTTAAAAAAGATTGCATGCATTCAACGAGCATAAATGGACATGTGTTGAATGAGGAATCACTTTTTTAAAGATATCATAGGAAGCATTGTAGAGGAATACTTTGCAAACACACACACACACACACACACACACACACACACACACACACACACACACACACACACACACACCCATGGTTTCCCATCACCCTTTCTCTCACCCTGATTGCGTTCCTGGAGGAGTTCTTGTCGTCCACGTTGACGGTGAGCGAGAAGAAGACGGCGGTGCTGTAGACGCCCTGCGTTCGGTACAGAAGCTCGTTGAAGTCCGGCCTCTGGGGGGCGCCCTCTCTCTCCCACCCCGGCGTTTTGGGAGGAGCTCCACTCATGTCCCACCCTCCACAGCTGTCAATCACCTCCGTCATGGGGTCCGATCCCAACTTATCGATCTCTTGCACGTTGACGCACGATCGGTAGAAGTCCTTGACTTTTCTCTCGGCCGAATCGACGCCTTGTCTTCTGATCGGCTCCAAAAGTAGGCGTTCCATTTTCTCCTCGTTGTGTTCCCCGATGGCCGTGATTATTCCGTAGCTGAGTTTATCCTCGGGGATGCCGTGGCGCCTCAACCATCCGCCACATGCGAACGAGTAGAAATCCTGGCACGGTTGAATGGTCGGGTCAATATTGGACTGGACGAATCGTGCCGCCCTCAAAAGGGAGCGTTTCCGTTGGCAGTCTTGTCGACACTGAGGGTCTTGTTGGGCGTCCAGGGAAATGTACTTCAGTGCCAACATGCTGCCCAAGATAACACACATACCGGCGGCAAAAACCAGCGCCGAAAGGAGGCATATCTCCCTACGACTCCATCGAGGAAGTCCTCCGCTGCTGCTGGTGCTTCCCAGGTCTTTGTTTCGCCCGTTGGACAAAGTCCCGCCTCGACCACGAGTCGTATGTCGATCCAAGCTTCCCCCGAGACTAAGAGTCATACCATTACTGAGGATATCGCTGCTGTAGCGACCGCCATATTTAACTTCCTGGAACTCATCGTAGTGGGCGGTTAACGAGTATGTCTTCTCCATTTTCAATGCACTGTCGTTTGGTAAGAGAAAGGGGATGAAAGAGGACTTGTTTCTTTGTTGTTAGTGTACATTCATGACTAGTCCCACTACTCAAAAGACAGGACTCCCACCATGGGGCAAAACACTGTCAAAATCCTGTTGACCCTCTTTAGGCAAAGTCCCGTTTATTTATTTTTTAATCAAAATCCGGCAGAGCGAGGGACTCCCATTGTGTGTGAGGATTCTCTTGGGTCCAGCTCTCTCTCACGCATCCTCTTTCTCTTTGCTCCCTTTCCATTTGTTCTCCTCCCTCTCTCCAAACCAGTTACAGCTGACCTGTCGGTAA